AATAAAAAAGATTGATTAAATAATCAATATAGAAAAGGTATGAACGAGAATGAATATCCTCACAATACAAGAGATATTCACAAGGGATATATTTCGAATATATCTTGGTTTCCGATGATCTATCCGAAACCGGTCAAATACGTCCCTTGTTTTGCGAAGATATTCATTCTCATTCATACCTTTTCTACATTTGTCAACAAGAAAACAATTCTTCGATAAATATGTTAGCTGTTTCTCTCTCTCTCTTATGGGTTTATTTCCCCATTCCGTTAGTATCAAATAGTTGTTTAACGCTTATAAATATACCCATTTATAAAAAACAAGATAACAGTGGAGTAATGCGTGACGTTTCGAGAGGAAGCGGGATCCTCGTCAGACGTACATTTTCCTTTTCTTTTCTCATCTTCTGTTTTTTCTTTTGTTCATATATATATTTCTACCTCACGTTCCTCTTCCCTTTCTCTTCTTGGATGCTCCTTCCTTCCCGTCTCCTCCACTGTGCAATCCTCCTCTTCCCTTTCTTCAATTTTCCTCTCTCTCTCTCCCCACTTCTCTCCCTCTCTCTTTTTCGATTTCCCTCCTTCCCTTCTTTATCCATTTATATTCTTCTCAATCCAGTCGAGGAAGGCGCCCACCCGCACGTACACGCCCGGAAGGAAGGGCTTCTCGCAGCCGTACCCGAACGACGTCAACCCCACCAGGAAGTGCCTGTTGGTCGTGACGTCATCCAGGAAGGTCACGGGGGCGCCGTTGTCGTTCTGGGGATACGGAGGCACATGTTATTTCCTCTTCTCTTTACTATTATATTATTTATATTATCATATATATCTATTTATTTATTTATATAATGTTTTTTGTGAGAGTTTTGTATGAATGAAATAATTCGGTATACAATCTTTAGCTCTAGTTCCTCTGCCTCCTTCACCCTCCCTCTTCTCCATCACTCACCCTCTTCTCCCTCATCCCCCCTTACCTCCATCCCTCTACCTACTCTTCCTCCCTCACCTCCTTCTCCTTCTCCCTTACCTTTATCCATCAACCTCATCTCCCTCCCTCTCCCCATTCTCTCTTACCTCCATCCTCAACCTCACCTCCTCTCCCCCTTCTCCTCGCCTCTCCTCCCTTACCCCCTCCCTCTCCCCCTTCTCCCTCGCCCCCCTTAACTCCCTCCCTCTACCTCCTCTCCCTCCCTAACCCTCCTTCCCTCCCCCTCTACCTCGCCTCCCCTCCCTTACCTCCATCCCTCTACCTCCCTCACCCTCCCTCTTCTCCATCCCTCTCTCCCTTCTCCCTTACCTCCACCCCTCTACCTCACCTCCCTCCCTCACCCCCCTTCTCCCCGTCCACCTTCCACCTACCAGACACGGCTGATCCTCCGCCACCACCGCGCACATCTGCTGGTTGTTGAGCGCCAGGCTCTCCACCTCCTTCTGGAACGTGTTCTCGCAGACGCCGAGGCCAACCACGGCCGCGCGGGAGAGCACGAGCTGCGCTGGCTCGGCGGCGCCTGGAACTAGAGCGTTTCAGGCATGGCGACTCTGGGTGTTAGGGTGTGTGTTTGGGCGAGTTATGGTGGCTCTGGATGGGAAGTGGTTTGGGTGTGTTTGGGTGGGTTATGGTGACTGGATGGGAAGTAGTTTTGGTATGTTTGAGTAAGTGTATTACGCTAGCTATGGTGACAAAGAATGGGAGTTCTCTTTGAAGTGTCTGTGTATTATCCTTAATTATGGTGGTACTGGGTGATAGTGTAGTGTATTTCAGTGTCTGTGGATTAGGTAAACGGCCGTGACATAATGTATTTTGTATCCCTAAGCAATGTGAAATCTCATACTTTGTATATCAATCTCCGTCCCACAGAATACCCAAATTCACAAAGAAAATAAATAAACACAAAACAACATACAAATAAACAGTAAAAACGAATAAAATAAATCATAAACATCCACTTGTTTTCGTGAGAGTCCTCCTCCCACCCTCCCACTCACCTCGAAGCGATGTGGCCGACTGACTCCAGCCCGTGACGTCCACCTCCTGGTACCGGAACCCATCGTACATGAATCTGTACGGCAGACACACGGGCCGTATCAGGTCTGCCGGAATGAGAGAGGTTTTGGAAGTCAGTGAGATTGCAGATACATCGGTTAATGGGGCGATTTGTGCCCGAAAATGGTTTAAAAGATCAGAAAAGCTGGAGATAGATCGGTTAATGGGGAGATTTGTGCCAAAAAATGGTTCAAAAGACCAGAAAAGCTGCAGATAGACTGGTTAATATTGTGAGAGCGTCTAATCAGAAAAGGAATTGTGCTAAAAAAATTTATGATTGTTCCCAAAAATGATCAGTGAGGCTACGGACAGCTTGGTTAACATTATGAGGGTCTATTTGGAAGATGATTTGTGTCCCAAAGTGGTTGAAGAGATCAGTGAGGCTGCAGAATTGATGGTTGATGTTCAGACGGCATCTGTCCTTGAATTTTGAAGAGGATATATGTGTATGGGAAGAGGAGGAAAAGGTAAGGAGAGTTCCCTTCGACTGAAGTGAATAGGAAGGTAATGATGAATAAATGCACAGCGGGAGATGCGATAAATACGTTTCGGTAAATACTTCATTGGTTTAATTGAAATCTTGTCTATGAGAGGGACAGGAAGTGAATGAGGGAGAGGGGGGGAGAGGGAAAGAGGGAGGGAGAGACAAATTGGAGAATAGAGGGTCACTAAAGAGGCGATTTAGATGCGATGTATCTGTGCACTGTATGTAGGCCTATGCTTATCTTATACCCCACACACCCCACATGCACACACCACACACACACACACACCACACCACCACACACACACACACACAACACACACAACACACACACACACACACACATATATATATTATATATATATATATATATATATATATATATATATATACATATATATTATATAATATATATATATATATATATATATATTATATATTATATATATATATATACATATATACATACATATAATACATATGTATACATACATATATATATATATATATATACATACATATAATAATACTATATACATACATATATATACATATATATACATATATATATATATATATATATATATATATATATAATATATATATATATATATATATATATACATATATGATATATATATATATATATATATTATATATATATATATATATATATTATATTATATTATATATATATATTATATGTATATATGTGTGTGTGTACACATGTATGCATACAAGCACACACTGTACACACACACATATACATCCAAACAGATAGACAGATATAGAGCCATCTCTGCGTGAGTGCGTGAGCGAGAACCCCCCCCTCCCCACCCCACCCCACCCCCACCGTTCAAGGGCGCGTCGCGTTCCAGAGTGACGAGCCCGAGGTCGTTCCCCAGGTTCTTGAGGTCGTATCCCGCGTCCACGAAGTCCGCTATGGCCAGTTCCAGCGGCAGGGACGGGTCGTTGGTCCTCGCCGAGTGAGGATTCCCCAGACGCACGTGAGTCCTGGAGGAGGGAGAGGAGGAGTCAGCGAAGCGAGGGAGGGAGAGGCAGCGAGAGGGAGAGAGAGAGAGAGAGTCAGCGAGGAGGGAGGGAGAGAGCAGCGAGAGGGAGAGAGAGAGAGAGAGTCAGCGAGGAGGGAGAGAGAAGAGAGAGGAGTCAGCGAGGAGGGAGAGAGAGGCAGCGAGGAGGGAGAGAGAGGCAGCGAGGAGGGAAGGAGAGGCAGCGAGGAGGGAGGGAGAGGCAGCGAGGAAGGAGAGAGAGTCAGCGAGGAGGGAGGGAGAGAGTCAGCGAGGAAGGAGAGAGAGGCAGCGAGGAGGGAGAGAGAGGCAGCGAGGAGGGAGGGAGAGGCAGCGAGAAGAGAGAGAGCAGCGAGGAGGGAGACGTCAGCGAGGAGGGAGGGAGAGGCCCAGCGAGAGGAGAGGCAGGGAGAGAGGCAGCGAGGAGAGAGAGGAGAGAGTCAGCGAGAGGAGAGGAGAGAGAGAGGCAGCGAGGAGGGAGGAGAGAGTCAGCGAGGAGGGAGCAGAGAGAGAGAGTCAGCGAGGAGGGAGCGAGAGAGGCCAGCGAGGAGGGAGGGAGAGCCAGCGCAGGAGGGAGGGAGGGGAGAGAGTCAGCGAGGAGGGAGAGAGAGAGAGAGTCAGCGGAGGAGGGAGAGAGACGAAGCGAGAGTCAGCGAGGAGGGAGAGAGAGAGAAGTCAGCGCAGGAGAGAGAGAGAGGCAGCGGCGAGAGGAGGGAGAGAGAGAGAGAGAGTCAGCGAGGAGGGAGAGAGAGAGAGAGAGTCAGCGAGGAGGAGAGAGCAGAGAGGAGAGAGAGAGTCAGCGAGGAGTAAGGAGAGAGCGCAGAGTCAGCGAGGAGGGAGGAGAGGAGAGACTCAGCGAGGGGAGAGTGCCCAGCGAGGCGGGAGAGAGAGGCAGCAGCGAGAGCATGAGGAAGAGGAGGAGAGTCAGCGAGGAGCGCTGACGACGAGACGGCAGCGATAAGAGAGAGAGACGGCAGCGAGCGAGGGAGGGGAGGAGAGTGTCAGCGAGTGGACGGGAGGAGAGGAGAGCGGAGACGTCAGCGAGGAGGGAGAGAGAGAGAGAGAGGCAGCCGAGGAGGAGGGAGTAGAGAGAGAGAGTCAGCGAGGAGAGAGGAGAGAGACGCAGCGAGGAGGCATTGAGAGAGAGAGAGCAGTCAGCGAGGAGGGGAGAGAGAGCGATGTCGAGCGAAGGGAGGGAAGAAGAGAGAGAGATGAGAGCAGTCAGGAGAGAGCGAGGTCAGAGAGTGGGAAGAGAGAGAGAGTCAGCGAGGATGGGAGAGAGAGAGGCAGGGACGAGAGTCAGCGAAGAGAGGCAGCTGAGGAGGGAGCGGAGAGATGTCAGCAGATGTCCAGCGAGAGAGAGTCAGCGAGGAGAGGAGCGGAGAGAGAGTCAGCGAGGAGAGGAGAGAGAGGGAGAGAGAGGCAGCGAGGAGGAGAGAAGAGTCAGCGAGGAGTGGAATAGAGGCAGCGAGGGAGGGAGAGAGAGCAGCGAGAGGGAGAGGAGAGGCAGTCACGCAGAGAGGGAGGGAGGGAGAGAGCGAGGAGCGGAGTGAGAGAGAGTCAGCGAGGAGGAGAGAGAGAGGTCAAGCTGAGGAGGGAGGCCGACGACGAGAGTTCGAGGAGCGAGAGAGAGAGGAGAGTCAGCGAGAGGAGAGGAGAGAGAGTGAGAGCAGCGAGGAGGGAGAGAGAGCAGCGAGTCCGCAGGAGGGAGAGAGAGTCAGCGAGGAGGGAGGAGAGAGAGTCAGCGAGAGAGAGAGAGAGAGAGTCAGCGGGGAGGAGAGAGAGAGAGAGAGTCAGCGAGGAGGGAGAGAGGAGCGAGTCAGCGAGGAGAGAGAGAGAGGAGAGTCAGCGAGGAAAGGAGAGAGAGAGAGAGAGTCACGGGAAGGAGGCAGCGAGAGGGAGAGAGAGGAGAAGAGGAAGCGAGGAGGGAGGAGAGGCAGCGAGGAGGGAGAGAGAGAGAGAGAGCAGCGAGGAGGGAGAGAGAGGGCCAGCGAAGGAGGGAGGGAGAGGCAGCGAGGAGGGAGAGAGAGTCCAGCGAGGAGAGGAGAGAGAGCAGCGAGGAGGGAGAGAGAGAGTCAGCGAGGAGGGAAGGATAAATGCAGACCCGGATGAGTGGAAGGGGATCGAGAATGCGGTTGGAGGATCGAATCCCCTTCTGAGGAAACAAAAGCGAATCTAAGGATGAGATTTGGTTCTTATAAGATGCCATATCAAGGAAAACAGAAGAACAGAGAATGGCATTTGTTTTCTTTATAATCGAAAGAGATATTAGATTAAAAACAAAAGACTGGCGACCAACGTACAGAAAATAAATATAATAAAGAGAAAATATGAAGAAAAACATGTAAGAATACACATTGCACGGTTTCAAAAATCGCAATATAAAATAAGATTCGAAAACATGCTCACGATTTCGTAATAAGAGATCAGCCAAGACTCGAAGTCGCGAGGAGGGAAGGGAGAGTCAGCGAGGGAAGGGAGAGAGAGGCAGCGAGGAGGAGAGAGGCAGAGAGGGAGAGAGTCAGCGGAGGAGGAGGGAGAGGAGCGAGGAGGCGAAGAGAGAGGCAGCGAGGAGGAGAGAGAGTCAAGCGAGGAGGGGGGAGAGAGTCAGCGAGAGGAGAGGGGAATGTCAGCGAGGAGGGAGAGAGAGTCAGCGAGGAGGGAGGGAATGTCAAGACTCGATAGAAATATCTCAAGAAGATTAAGGTCTCACAGTTTCGTAGCAAAGAAATAAATGTAGCATAAAAGAAGGAGAAGGAGAAGAAAACCGTTGCTATGGTTTCGTTAAATAAACATTGCAGTAAAAGGACTAAAAGAACTAAACATATAAAATATCACGGTATCGTATTAAGAAATAAACAAGGCATTAAAAAAAACACAAAAAACACGTAATAAGAAATAAACAAAGCATTAAAAAAAAAAAATGTGGTTTCGCAATAGAAATAAAAATAAAACATTCAAAAATGAAAGAAAATGCATTCAAATAAGAAAGAAAAAAAGCATTAAAAGAAAGAAAAAGGTCTTTCAAAAGTGAAAGAAAAAAGGCATTTAAAAAGAAAGAAAAAAGCTCACGGTTTCGCTACAAGAAATAAACAACGCATTCAAAAAAGAAGAAAAAATGCATTCAAAAAAGAAGAATAAAAAGGACATTCAAAAAAGAAAGAAAAGGGGCATTCGCAAAAAAAAAGAAAAATGCATTCAAAAAGGAAGAAAAAAAAAAAAAATGAAAACATTCAAAAAAAAAAGAAAGAAAAAGGGCATTCGAAAAAAAGAAAATGCATTCAAAAAGGAAGAAAAATGCATTCAAAAAAAGAAAGAAAAAAGGGCATCCGAAAAAAAATAAAAATGCATTCGAAAAAAAAGAAAAAATGCATTCAAAAAGGAAGAAAAAAGGACATTCAAAAAAGAAAGAATGCATTCGAAAAAAAAGAAAAAAATGCATTCAAAAGGAAAAAAAATGCATTCAAAAAGGAAGAAAAAAGGACAATTCAAAAAAAGAAAGAAAAAAGGCCATTAAAAAAAAGAAAAAAAAAAGGGCATTCGAAAAAAAGAAAAAAAAATGCCATTCAAAAAGGAAGAAAAAAATGCATTCAAAAGGAAGAAAAAATGCTCAAAAAAAGAAAGAAAAAGGGCATTCCAAAAAAAGAAAAGAAAGGCATCAACAAAAAAATGAAAGAAAAAAGGGGGCAATTTCGAAAAAAATAAAAAAACTAACTAAATGCATTCAACAAAAAAACAGCAATTGGTCTTCGGATATAACGACAAGAAGAAAAAAAATCACCCATCCCCTTCTTACCAGGGTTTTTGGGGCAGAGGCAGGCAAGTAGCGCGGAGGCGGACGAGGGCCTCGGATCAGCCGAGTCGGCCGGCAATAAAGCGATCGAATGTGCCGCCAGCAGAAACTAGATTGGGCGGACGAGCGAGCTAGAAAATACGTGGGAGCAA